AGTCTAAATAAAACAAAGTATTGGTGGTAATTTTTGACTGTATAACTTTACAAACAGCAGCCCATAATTTCCTGAAAGTTTTGTTGCATCAGTCCAGTGGTTCTTTGCTTTAATTGGGATCTAAATGTGCATCAGTTGAAGATATGCAGTCAACAAACATAATTTAGTCTTAAATCTAAGACTGAGTCCAGGTGAGTCTCAATAAAATCTGTTCATTTTTTCATTTGGCTAATGTAACGAACAAACTCGGACACGAACAGAAACAAAATAAGCAATAATCAACTGTCTCTTTGTTAGCTTTGTTCACTACAGCTGCAACAAGCCTTCTGTAACACTTCCTTTCATAAGGTTCCTTACAAAAACAGATTTTCTCTTTTTACATGATGTATTTATCTGGGATTATTCCCAAAGACTGAAGAAGAGTTTAAATAAAACATTGAAGGTAGAATGTATAAACTGTATATTTGCTGTTCTTGTTTCTCCAGAATGAAACTTAAAGAGATCAACCGGACAGCCATCCAGACCTGGAGTCCTGCACAGCACCACCCTGTCTACCTTGCAACAGGTACAGACATGCAGCAAGAACCTGCTGCTGCTTCTGACTGATTAGAAAGGACATGATATTGTATTTATGCAGCGCTTCATCATCATCATCATCATCATCATCATCATCATCATCATAATAATAATAATAATAATAATCATTTTATTTGAAAAGCACCTTTCAGGACACCCAAGAACACACAGCATTAGAAACATGATAGAGGAATGTGTGAAAATACAGTTTGACAAAAGCTGGCATGAGTTACAGAGCATTGTTTACAAATGAAGTTAAGATGCTAATCTAAAGAGATGTGCTTTCAAACACCCGCTTCGGATGTTATCATCCATGAAATGGACATTAATAGACCGTTATCAGTCCCATAGAATGCTTCCATTTGTCAGCTGGTTAATATTATGAGGCATAAAACCACTATCTGGTTAATATGAGGCATAAAAAAACAGGTTAACATGAGGCAAAAAGGCCACTAAGGTTAACCTTAGAGAAAATGTCATGGTTAGTGCTAAAGACACCGTCCTCCAACGGGTGTATAATGTGGCCTTCCAATAGGGAAATGGGTAGAGCGTTGGACCACAGACTGGGAGACCAGTGTTCCAGAATGACTCGGACAGTAAGAGCAAGGATCGCCACCAGGCAAGGACAAAAAATTTATTAAAATATGTTTTGGTTATTTACACATTCATTGTCATTAATATATTAATCCACTAGGGGGCACTGTCGGGACAGTCTGAAGCCTAGAAGGCACAGTAGGGACATTCTAAAGCCATTGCATGGGACTGATAACACCTAATAACGTCCATTTCATGGACTAATATCAGAATCCCCTTTTTTCAAAGCAGTCTTGAACCCAGGAAGAGAGGTTGTGTTTCTTAGGTCGGGTGGTAGAGAGTTCCAGAGGAGAGGTGTAGAACAGGTGAAGGCCCTGCTCCCCATGGTGGAGAGGCGGGCAGTGGGTACTTGGAGGTTTAGGGAAGAAGAGGATCTGAGAGAGTGGGAGGGGATGGAGATGTGTACGAGGTCGGACATGTAAGGAGGGGCAAGATGGTGGATAGCTTTGAACATGAGAACAAGAATTTTGAAGACGATGCGTAATTTGACTGGGAGCCATTGGAGCTGCTGCAGGACTGGGGTGAAGTGGTTATGGGAGGAGGTTTGGGTGATGACACGTGCAGCTGAGTTCTGGACCATCTGAAGCTTATGGAGGGGTTTGTTGGGGAGGCCAAAGAGAAGAGAGTTACAGTAATCGATCTGTGAGGTCACAAGACTGTGGACAAGGATGGCTGTGGTGCGGGGTGTGAGAGAAGGACGGAGAAGGTTGATATTTCTGAGGTGGAAGTAGGCAGACCGAGTAACGTTGTTGATGTGTGCAGTGAAGGAGAGAGTGGTGTCGAGGATGACAACAAGACTCTTGACCTGAGGGGAGGGGGTTAGCAGACAGTTGTTGATAGGGATGAGGAGATTATTAGATTTTGAGATTGAATTTTTAGTGCTGACAAGGATAATTTCTGTTTTGTCACTATTTAGTTGAAGGAAATTGTCTGAAAACCAGTGATTGAGACAGTCCATGAGGATGGAGGAAGGGGTGTGTGGAGTTTGGCTTGGTTGACAGGTAGAGCTGAGTGTCATCTGCATAACAATGGAAACGGACACCAAACATGCGGAAAATGTAACCAAGAGGAAGGAGGTGAGTAATGAAGAGGAGTCCAAGGACAGAGCCTTGGGGCACGCCAATGGAGATGGGGGATGGCTCAGAGTGGAAGGATTTAATCTGAATGAATTGAGTGCGGTCAGAAAGACAAGATTTGAACCAGTTAAACGCAGTACCTGAGATGCCAATGGATGTGAGTCTGTTGAGAAATGAATGAGAGATTGTATCAAAAGCAGCACTTAGGTCAAGGAGGATGAGGATGGACAGGAAGCCAGAGTCGGCAGCAAGGAGAAGATCATTGGTGATTTTTATGAGGGCGGTTTCGGTGCTGTGTTTGGGGTGAAAACCAGACTGAAACTCCTCATAAAAGTTATTGTTGGAAAGGTGAGAGTGGAGTTAACTGGTACCAACTTTTTCCATAATCTTAGAGATGAAGGGCAGGTTAGAGATTAGATGAAGATTACTGAAGTTACTTGGGTTGAGACCGGGTTTCTTGATGATGGGGGTAATGGCTGCAGATTTAAAAGCTGTGGGAACAATACCAGAGGTCAAGGAGGAGTGGATAATAGTGGTGATGATAGGGAGCAGAGACGGGAGGCAGGATTTAACAAGAGCAGTGGGAAATGGATCGAACTGGCAGGATGAGGGCTTAGACTTGCTAATGATATCGGAGATGTCAGAGGCAGGTGAAGGGAGAAGACAGAGGTCGTGTTTCCATCCAGTTGTACAGTGAAGTTTTATCGAACTTTTCAAAATTCGCAAAAAATTAAATAAATAAAAATTCGAATCTAGACTGTTTCCATCTAGTTTCCCTCTCGACTGTTTGATGCGAATAAACGAGGCTACACAACGCGTGATTATGTCAGACATCGGTGACAAGCTTTGCGGTAGTAAACAGGAAATGAAACTTGCTAACTAGCAGAGGCTAATCATCTCGGGACAATGGAGTGATTTAACAGGTTAATGGCTAATTTAATGTTTCTTTTGCGAATTAAAGAGAGAAATGTTCTCATCTCTTCGTCAATCCACATGTACCTGTTGTTGTTGTTGCAGCCATGTTTTCGTGCGTTTATGATAAGATCCGGGACGAGGCAGGAAAGCGGAAACAGCTGAACGTCACGTGAGGTAATTCATTCGGCAAACGTGTTTCCATCTCCCGTTTTGCACATTAACTACTTTGTGAATCATCCAAAAACCACCTCAAGCGAGCGTAAAAACTTTTTAGCGAATTGAGGATTTTTTTCGAATTTTGCTGTTTCCATCTGACATTTTATCGCATTTTTAATGCGACACTTCTAAATGTGCATCAAAAAGCCTTGATGGAAACATGGTTATAGAGGTGGACGGGGCAGGGGGGAGTTCGACAGGTGAGCTGCAAGCTGTGATTGGGCCAAGGTGTTTGTGAATAGACAGAACTTTTTCATTGAAGTAGGACATCAGAGAGTTACAAAAATCAGTGGACACCATGTGAGAGGGTAAAGACTTATGAGATGAGACGGTACAGTTGAGGAGAGAGAAAAGAGTCTGAGAGTTGCCAATATTGGAAGTGATGATGTTAGAGAGGTAGCTGGATTTGGCTTGAGAAATACTGTCCTTATACTGTTTGATGTGGTTCTTGTAGAGTTCCTTGTGAATTGTGAGACCAGTTTTCTTATAGAGGCGCTCCAGCCTCGGACCTTTGGATTTCAAGGAACAGAGTTCTGGAGTGAACCAGGGTGCAGAGTTTGAGAAGGAGACAGACCGGGTTTTTAACGAAGCGACAGAGTTAAGGATGGTGGTGAAGCTGTTATTGTATGAAGAGACAAGATCGTCCAGGTTAGAAGAGCTGAAGGAGGAGAAGGTTTTGTCAATATGGGAAAGAAGAATATCATGATTTATATTCTTAATATTACCAAAGGAGAGAGAGAGCGTTGATGTTTGTTAGAAGAAAATTTAAGATTGACACTGAAAGAGAGCATTCAGAGGAACTTAAACTGAAATTAACTCTAGAGTGTTATTAAATTAGTAAATAGTGTCAGGAGTAAAATAAGCTGTTGTGTCTTTGAGGTGAGACTAAATATACCATTTATACTTTGCTGCCTGTTATGTGTCAACAGTTCAGGAGCCTGTATGTTTGAATGATTCCCACTTGAGTTAATTGTCTCAAAATACAAACAAAAAAGTTTTTCTAAAACAAATCAGGTTCAAACACTAAAAATGAGGTTACAAGTTCAAGTTCAGTTTATTCATAAATCTCCAAGTCCCAACATCCGTTGTCTCAGGACACTGTAGATAAAAAGAACAATGTAAAGAAGAAAGCAGCAGATTGTGTTGAATCACTTCATCACAGTCTCCCATCCTGAGCAAACGGTGGAGAGGAAAAACTCCCTGCTAATCAGGAAGAAACCTCCAGCAGAACCAGGCTCAGGACAGGAGACCATCTGCCTCGACCGGCTGCTTGGAGGACAGGAAAGAGACACAGACAAACACAGAAGAACTGGTCCAGGACTGGTCCAGGACTGGTCCAGGTGCACCTTCTTCTGGAAGAGACAAAGAAAAAACATGATAGAAATAATAAGAATAAACATGTAGAGAAGAGAGACTAAAGACAACAGCAGAGTGAGGAAAGAAAAAAACCAACAAGCAGCCAGAGTCCCCCCAAGACCACTTTAAAAGATCATAAGAAAGTCTGGTTGTTTGGAAGGAAGGTTGTAAGAAACAAAACAAACTGTGATTAAACTAAATGTTTAAATAAATTGGTTCAATAGAGCAAAGTTAAAATACAAAAGTTGTATTGCAAAAACCAGTTGTACAGAAGAAACTATGAGCAGGAAAGTGTGAATGCTGACTCAGCGTTCACATGGGAATCTTTAGTTCCAAATGTTTGGACGGTTTGTGTATGAATCTGTAATTTACAAATGTAATAAGATTTATTTCGTCCCTCCCTCTGCTTCTTTTCTTTCATTTATAATTTATTTAGTTTTTTAAATTGTAGAGAGATTTATCTTTTGTTTTAATGAATGAATCAAAATAAATAAATACATAAAAAATCTGCAGGAACATCAGCCCAACAGCTGGATGCCTCCTTCAGCACCAGTGCCTCCCTGGAGTTTTTTGAGCTGGACTTGGCAGAGCCATGTTTGGACATGAAGTCATGTGGCAGCTTGTCCTCTTCTCACAGGTAGAAATGAGATGATTCCTTCTCATGCTGCTCTTTCTGTACACACGTGTTTAGTTTGTCTTTCCACCCTCAGATACCACAAACTGGTGTGGAGCTCTTTTGGGATGGACACGCAGGCTGGCCTGTCTGGTGTCCTGATTGCTGGAGGGGAGAACGGTACTGTCCTCCTGTACGACCCAGCTAAGATCATTGCTGGAGAGAGTGATGTCATCATTGCTGAGAGTGACAGACACACAGGGCCAGTCAGGGCTCTGGATGTCAATCCCTTTCAGGTATTACCCACTCATTCTTGGTTACAACATACTGTAAATAATCCACACTCAACAGCTTGTCATGTTTTATTTTTTTATTTTTCAGACAAACCTGTTTGCATCAGGTGGAAATGAATCAGAAATTTACATTTGGGATATGAATAACTTCATGTCTCCAATGACTCCAGGACCGAAAACACAGGTGCTTTTTTCTGTTTTCACTGTTTTTATCATTAGTTATTAACTTAATTTAAGTGACTCATCAAATGAAACAATGCAGTGATTTAGGGTGAGAAGAAATCTATGAATATTTATATATATTAATATATTTAATATATCTAATATATTTTATATTAAACCTGTGGAGGTAACTTTGTTTCTTTATTATTCAATCAAACAAAAAGCATCTTCAATCAAAAAATAATAATTTTAATCAAAACAATTTTCAACCAAACAAAAAATAAATTCAATCAAAAAAACAAACTTAATACACGTGGAGCAGTGCCAGACTGCCAGTTACAGCTCCCAGGGAGCAGCTGAGGGGTGAAGGGCCCAAGTGGGGTCTTTATAGAAAGGTTATGAAGTGGGGCAACCTGGAGTCGAACCGACCTTCTGATCACAGACTCAACTTCTCTACTCTCTGCCTCAACAAGTTTATGGGTTTTTAATTCAACCAAAAGTTTCTGTTTTGCAAAAAATGTTTTGATTGTTTTTTTTAATTGAAATTGCTTTTTTGGTTTGGTTGAAATGATGTCTTTTTTGGTTGAAAGTATTTTTTTGATTGAATTTATTTTTTGTTTGGTTGAAATTTTTTTTTGATTGAAGATGGTTTTTGTTTGACTGAATAATAAAGAAACAAAGTTACCTCCATATTAAATAGCCATAAAATAAAACTACAGTGTGAATACTGATTGCTGAATAACTTGGCTGTAATTTGTTGAAATACAGTTAGGTCCATATATATTTGGACACTGACACAAATTTAGTCTTTTTACCTGTTTACTGAAACATATTCAAGTTATAGTTATAAAATGTTCATGGACATAAAGTGCAGACATTCAGCTTTCATCTGAGGGTCTCCACATTAAAACTGGATGAAGGCTTCAGGAGTTTCAGCTCCTCAACATGTGCCTCCCTGTTTTTAAAGGGACCAAAAGGAATTGGACCATTGACTCCAAGTCTATTTCATGGACAGGTGTGGTCAATCCCTTCATTATGTCATTCTCAATGAAGCAGATAAAGGTCTGGAGGTGATCTGAGGTGTGCTGCTTGTGTTTGGAAAGTTTTACTGTGAAGTAAACATGAGGTCAAAGGAGCTCTCCATGCTGGTGAAACAAGACATCCTTAAGCTCAGGGTTCCTGCAGATCCTTAAAAACACTTAAAACGCATTGAATTCATCAATCCAAAAATAAGGCCTTAATTAACCTTAAAGTGTTTTAAATCAATCTTTCAGAAGTCTTACAACCGTTAACACATTTAAAATAATTACTAACATTCTTTTAGACACTCCCCTATCACATCACTTCCTGTAGATGCAAATATCCCAACAACTGTCCATCTGAGCAACGTGAAACTCATTTTGTAACATGTTAATAATGTTGTCTTTTCAAAAATGCACTAACTGTTCTTACAAATTTTGATGTCACAGACACTTCAGGTTTCATCTATAGCAAACTGGGGTTAAGACCCCACTGTGGGCCCTAAAACTTCAAATTTTGGGTCATTAAACTGACTGATAAGAATGTTTTTGCTATTTGATGAAAAAGCAGTTAGATATGGATAAAAACAATTGGTCTATTAGCAATATTTGAGTACTTCAACCAAAAATACTTTGATTCATGAGTTTCTGCTACGGTTTTATTTTTTATCATTTGTGTTTATTATGAAATTGGTCTTTAATTTCAGTTGGCATTAAAAAAACGTAAAGTCTTAAATTGAACTTACTTTAAACTGTAGGAACCCTGAAGCTGCAAAAATAGAAAAAAACCCATCTGATAAATTGCTACAATATTAGGAGTGACAAAATCTACAGTTTGGTCCATCCTGAGAAAGAAAGAAAGCACTGGTGAACTCGTCAATGTAAAAAGACCAGGGGCCTCGTGTACAAAGACTTGTGTGGATTTCTTACTGAAACCTGACGTACGGTCAAATCCAGAGAACGGCGTACGCACAAAAAATCCAGATGTATCAAACTGTGCGTACGCCTGAATCCACGCACATTACTTTTGTACATCACAATTAACGTGGAACTGAGCGCAGGTAAGACTCCTCCCCCTGAAACGCCTTCATTAACATATGTTAAACAGATGTAAATTACTTCCTGCCTGTGTGATGGATGTCATGGAAATCTTTATTCTACCTAAGCAGAAACACGAGATCCAAGAATAAAAGTACTCTGTGAAAATGTTCAACAGGATTTATTGTAGTTGCAAGACACACACCATGTCACACAGAGCAGTGGTACAAAATGTGTGCACTGACGTAGTTTAAAATACACACATTTATACAGTATGTTATCAAAACTGACTAAACTGGGCCAAGGAGAGAATGTTTGATAAACAGCAACAAGAATGATGACTTCTAAACAGACATTGTCCTGATCTTAGAACACTGAGAGAGAAAACAGAACATAAAAGTAAAATCATAAAACATAATGACATTTTAAAGAAAATAAAAGAGGTCACTGACTCTTGGCCTGAGAAGAAATGTAGGACTGTAAAGATAATTTATTTTTCCAAGACAAAGGACATGTTAGTGATCCCTGTAATCAGACATGATTTCTACATTCAGGAAAATAATAAATTTAATATAATGTGAGTGAGAAAAAAAACCTAAATAAAATTAGGAATAAGATATGTTTATCACACAAAGAACGAGTGTGTGTGTGTGTGTGTGTGTGTGTGTGTGTGTGTGT